ATATATAGTATTGGGAAGAAGGAAAACAGGAACATTCAAAGAAATGATGGTTGATACATTAGGAACATGTGGAGAAACACACCGACACACAGTACAAATGGGGTGAGGCATCCTGAAGCTCAAGGTCAGCTTGTGCTACATCATGTGTCCTAGGCCACCCTGTACTACAAAGCAAGACCTTGTCACATACATACATTCACACATACATACATTCATGCATGCATTTTTAAAAGATGTTCAATGATGGAAATTTGAAGACAGTTGAATATTTCAAATGTCCTGAGCAAACGCACACACACACACACACACACACACACACACACTACACACCCCACACCCTTTCGTCTGGCAATCTAGAAATCTGCATGAGTATGCAATAAAACTTCCCTTCATGAGCACAACCAAAATACAGACACTTACAAACAAAAGTTACACTTACCATTAACATACTCTTAATAAACAAACACTAAACATGTAATTTAAAAGAACATAAGTATCTCATATAAGATATAGAAGGTACAATAGGAAAAAATAAATAAAGCTAAATATGTATCTTAAGAAAAACATGAAATGAATTCTTTTCTGTTTTTTAGTACAGGATCTACAGGGTATCACTACACAGATCAGACTTGTAGTGATCCTCCTGTTTTCAGCCTCCCAAGTGTGGGATTACAGTGAGCACCACCATGCCCAGTCTCAAGCTCTGTCTTCCTGCAGCCCAGGGTGGGCCCAGCACTGCATGCAGGGGATGGAGCCCTGGCCCCTGTGCCTGCCTAAGCAGGAGCTTTAGCCCACTGTGCTATTTGGCCAGCCCTCATGAAATGAATTCCGAACCAAGAAAAACAAAAGTAAAATAATATCTCATTAATAAAGGAGAAAAAAAAAAACAATGAAAATTCTGAGGACAGGGGTCAGAGGTTCGATCCCCAGCCTGCCGTGCTGGCCCTGCCCCAGGGGCTTGCTGAGATGGTGATTGAGACCGGACGTGGTGACATGCTCCTGTAATCCCAGTGCTTGGGAAATTGAAGACAGAAGAATCATTACGAGTCCTATCTGTATACTGAGACCCTGCAGACCCTGCACTAAATACAAAAGAGAAAAAAAAGAAAAAAGAAAAAATTCTGAGGATGTTCTTTTTGTTTGTTTTTTTCTTTTCGTATTTTTTAGGGAAGCGT